GTGCTCTTCTCTCCTCCGTCTCTCTCTCCTGTGCTCTTCTCTCCTCCGTCTCTCTCTCTCCTGTGCTCTTCTCTCCTCTGTCAATTTTTTTTTTCAATTCAATTAGCTTTATTGGCATGACAAAAGCACATTTTGCATTGCCAAAGCATGCATAGGAAAAGAGAACATATACAACAGTGTAATTTGGAACAATATAGCAATTGAAATAACATATGAACAAGTAATATTGAAAGAATGACATTAAAACATATGGTTACATATAAACATATATATGATATAGTAAAGGTTATATAACAAGATTATTTCTCTATTTTCTCTCTCTCTCTCTCTGGTAAACTTATTGACGTTATTAATGTTTCCTGCCAGTGAATAAGGTTTAGTTCTTAAATATTAATTAGGTAATGCTGACGTCTAGTTCTTCTGTTCCAATGGCGAATGCTGTTCTCTTGAATATTAAGTAGGCTGTTCTGACGTCGAGTGGTTTCCTTCCGATAGCAAACGCTGCCTCATGAATATTAAAAGCTAAGCCTTCGCCATAGTGCGATTGGTAAACTCGCCTCCCGGCCAGGCGGCTTTGCTCCGCCCACACTTCCAATTGGGATTCTGTGTCGCTGCATCCATTTTTGTGTATTTAAGATATCTTCAAGGATTACCAAACCTGGAGAAAAGCGAGGCACCGGTGCAGAGGGACTCAAAAGGGAAGCAAACATTTATTATGAGATGCAAAAGAACTTTTCCAGGACGATGACAGCGATGGGTTAGACAGGATTGAACAGGATGATGGCCAAATAAAAGGCAAGAGGCGATTTCACATCATCACTGAGATCTGGAGTAACATCTGAGATCTGCTATTTTATTCATAATGCATCGCTGCTTTAATCTTTTATTCTTATTCTTTTTGTATTGAGGAAGAGGATAATTTTAAACGGGATTACGTTCATTTCAATAGCATTGACTTTAAAAGGACCAGCTCGGTCCCTTCTTCTATTGCTCAGAGAATGATTGATCTAATGCTGTAAAATCCACCTTATATAGTCCAAGAGCTTACATTGTTATCATTTCAATAGTAGTATAATAACTTAACCACCTCTTTTAGTGTTTTAAAACATCATAACGTTCATCAGAGATGCTGCTGTGGGTCATGATGCTTTGATTCCTGAGCTACCAAAACCCACTGATGATTGATCAAATAGACCTTGCATTCATCATGGATTAAGTCTGGTTATTGATCTTCTTCAGCATCGGCGTGTAAAGATGTCTGCTCCAGCCGTGCCCCGCAGCGGGCCTGTCCTGCCGGAGATGCCGGACCTGAGCCACCTCACCGAGGAGGAGAGGAAGATCATCCTCGGTGTCATGGACAGGCAGAAGAAAGAGGAGGAGAAGGAGCAGTCCATGTTGAAGTAAGAGCTTTACGGATCACATAGCCTATATGTGAAAATATATCTCGAGCTGTTGGTTGAAGGCTGGTGTGAATGATGCCTGTTCGTTTGATTTGACATAGAGAGCCCGAGTGTTGGAGGTTTAGTGGTGATTCTCAGTGTGTCTAATGGTGAGAATCACTTTTGTGTTTATTAGTCATATGGACATCAGGCTTCCGCTTCATTCTCTTGGCTTTGGGATTGTATTATGCGCCATTATCGCCTTGACTAGTGCACACTTCATAATGACAGCTCATAGTACAATAGCACGCTATTCCAGTTTAATCGATGTGAATATCTAATGTTGTTTTGACCTGAGCATTGAGGCTGCGGCGCCAGAGATTTCAGCACCACGGCGCTGTCCGCTGATTTACAAACCCACTGAATGATTGTTCTCAGTTGGGAAATATGGAGAATTTAACTTTGTTTCCAGTATAATTGCAAAAGTGAAATGCTGTTATAGGCCTTTAGTGGTTGGATTTTGTCTGAAATATGTTCTTGGGCACATTTGTGGATGTTTAACACAACTATCTAATCTACAGCAATAGAGGAAATAGTTCAGTATGGCAGGGGTTTTCAAACTTTTTGATGCCAGGGACCCCTAGATATTATTACAACCTTGTAACGGTCTCTGTCACTTTAAATTGTAAAGACAACGGTCTATTTGAATGTATAATGGTACATTGCTGGTACATTAAAACAACATTGCTTTTGTATTGTCGCTGTATTAAAGCTAAAAGAGGTGATCAAATATTATTTGGAAAGTATCACAGCATTGACAGCATATCTTTTCCTACCTTCAAAGTAATGTTAGATGTGTAAATCTAATGAATGTTGTATCTAGGCTTGACAGTAGTATAAAAGAATCATGATTAATCCCATGATTTACAACCAGTCATCAATATTTTTCTAGCACCCTTTTGTGACCCCCTGAGGGCCGTAGGTTTAAAACCCCCTGCAATATACAACCAAGTAGAAGGTTTGGTTTTAGTAGGCAAAATAAGATGCTTTATTGTTTTATTAGGGATATATAAAATAAAAACACTGAAAAACAGTTTGGTGTAGAAATGAATTTGATCATTATTTTATGAGCTTTATCCTAAAGACCTGAATTGTTTTATTATTAGTAGTATAATTTAAACAGCCCTTTTGTGTGTAATAAATAAATATATAGACGATCAGCTTTAAGTTGGTTATTCAAATGTTTCTTTCTATTTGCAATATCTATTTGCAACGACTCTTAAATCATTGTAATTTTCTTAAGGAAAATTATGGCTTATGGCTTATCTGATTTCCCCTAGTTATTGATTTGGTAACTTTGTGCAATGAATTAATGCACAGACTCTCCAGGATTCAAACAGGGAAGTATTTGCAGTTCTGTGAGTAACTGTGCAATGTCTTTAGCTCATGGATTTTTTTTAGTAGGCAAAATAAGATGCTTTATTGTTTTATTAGGGATATATAAAATAAAAACACTGAAAAACAGTTTGGTGTAGAAATGATTTTCACTTCAAAATGTAATGTTCAATTCAATGCGTTACGTGCCATTTCTTTGTAATTATTTGTAAAATGTTCTATTTCGAAGTAGAGACTGAAATAGTATATTCTTGTAAAATAGTTCCAATACTCCAGTAATCTGTTTTATTTACAACTTTGATCATTATTTTATGAGCTTTATCCTAAAGACCTGAATTGTTTTATTATTAGTAGTATAATTTAAACAGCCCTTTTGTGTGTAATAAATAAATATATAGACGATCAGCTTTAAGTTGGTTATTCAAATGTTTTGTTCTATTTGCAATATCTATTTGCAACGACTCTTAAATCATTGTAATTTTCTTAAGGAAAATTATGGCTTATGGCTTATCTGATTTCCCCTAGTTATTGATTTGGTAACTTTGTGCAATGAATTAATGCACAGACTCTCCAGGATTCAAACAGGGAAGTATTTGCAGTTCTGTGAGTAACTGTGCAATGTCTTTAGCTCATGGATTTTTTGCGAGGGTGTGTAGACGTGCTTCTATCATTAGGTAAATATTAACACTGCAGCATGGAAATAGAGCAGATTCCGTACAATAAGTGAAGTAAACATGAGTCACAGACGTAAAGCCAACTGCCACCTCACTGCTGGTGTGTGTCTGTGTTGAGTCACTTGATTCCTCCCTCTTAAACACACATCACCATTCATAGTTTCGAGAGAGCGAGAGAGATGATGTTAGCCACTTGAGTGCTGATGTCATGTAAGGGAGGGTGATGGTTGGTTAGCATCAGTGTGGACGCTGTCACGAGGCCTCTGATCTTTTCTAGAGTAGTGTGCAAACGGCCGGTGTAGAGTTACACAACAACATGGCGGCTTGTTGGCCTCTGACTGTTACTTATACTGAACAGTGAATGTGCAGAGCTGCTGCCCGTGTCATGTGATTCACGGCCTGATCACATTCTCATCGCTGGTCCACAAGGCCATGCCTTCATTTGTGGGTCATATCATAATTTGCGTTATTTTTTTCTACTAAAGTCACTCAGGTTAATCAAGGTTTTATGTGTATAATTTAGTTTTTCTTCATATCTGTTTTAAGTTGAAAAGACTGCTTTCACTACTGTACATTTCAAGGGGTCATATGACATTGCTAAAAAGAACATTATTTTGTGTATTTGGTGTAATGCAATGCGTTTATGTGGTTTAAGGTTCAAAAAACACATTATTTTCCACATACTGTACATTATTGTTACTCCTCTATGCCCCGCCTTTCTGAAACGTGTCGATTTTTACAAAGCTCATCGGTCTGAAAAGCAAGGTGTACGCTGATTGGCCAGCTATCCAGTGCGTTGTGATTGGCCGAATACCTCAAGCGTGTGACGGAAATGTTACGCCCCTTACCATACTGTGATGCCGTGTGTCCCGGCGCGACGAGATAAACCCCATTACAAACGAGGCATTTGTTGCATCCAGTGGGGACATAATTACTGATTATAATGACTTATACTGTCTTTTTACACGTTGCTTTGCGTATCGCGTAAACAAAACCATGTCTGCATTTGTGATCGGAGAAACGACAAACAACAAGCGCTACTCTACACTGCTCAAAATTAAGACTTATATTTGCAGATGACCTCTATAATGATTGTATAACATCCTTTGAACTAAACAGCCCTTTTTTGCTACTGTGCCTTTAAGACTTCTATGTATGATAACTTTCATCACTTGCTCACCAGTGGATCCTCTGCAGTGAATGGGTGCCGTCAGAATGAGAGTCCAAACAGCTGATAAAAACGTCATAATAATCGCATGACTCGAGTCCATCGATTTTAACTTTAGAACGTTGCTTCTAACCAAAACACGAGTCCATAAACCATGCTTCCTCCAGTGAAACAGTTGTTTTGTCTGAATCGGGAGAGAAATATGCGCAAATCAAGGGCTGTTTACAAGTAAAAGCAGTCCAAAACAGTTCTAAACGAATATGTTGGTGGATTTCGAGGTGAGAGAGTGACTGGAGAAGGACTTTTTCAATAGAGGAAGCGTTATTAGGGATTATGGACTGATATTTTGGTCAGAAGTGATGATTTAAAGTTAAGACTCCTTAATGTTGGATTTGTTCATTGCAAACATGCAACTTTTCACGTCACAAGACATTAATTGATGGACTGGAGTCGTGTGGATTATTGTGATGTTTTTATCAGCTGTTTGGACTCTCATTCTGACGGCACCCATTGCCACTGCAGAGGATCCATTGGTGAGCGAGTGATGTAATGCTAAATATCTCTGGAGAAGGAGCTGCAGAGCAGAAGGTGCTACACACAGACAAAAACAGCACAAAATTTGACTGACTTACCACATTTTACTCTCTTCATTAGTTCTTCTAGTGTTTAGGAATGATAGTATCTGTCATACTTCCCCTGTATTGCCTTGCCATGATGAGTTTTTGGTGTTGACGTGTAAATGTGGGCAATCATAATTGTGTTAATCAGTGCATCTTTCTGATTGAGGATGTTCAGAATGAGCGGTTTTTGCAGCTTAGTTTCTGTAAATGTTCTTTTTGGACTGGGAATGAGGTTTGAGTTACAGTATGTTTTTATTTATTATATGGCATTTGCTTATTAGTGGTTATGAACTTCTGTATTGCTCAGACTTTGTCTAGTCAAGGTGGTGATGGAGAGCAAGCAGGATAACTGGTCGACTGGTCACTAATGAGTTTTTTAGCTGTGGTTTTTGCACCATAAATCTCAGTGTATCCATGGTAGCCAAGCCACAGGATGTTCCAGGATGTTTTTAAAGAGTCATACACGCGCGCACACACAACAGTGGCTGTAAGCCAACTCCGGGAATCCTGGGAGAATGAATAGACGAAGAAGCCCTCTGTAGAAAGGTTTGCCAACTTCCCGTCATCTCACTGGAAGAGCCACAAAGAATTTGAAACATATCCAGCAACAGAGACAGAGAGTGAGGGAGAGTTTTAGTAGCTGAAAGTGAGAGTGTGCCAGGGAAGGTGTTTTTTATAGTATGAAAGAATGAGAGACAGGGTGTTTAGGAGATTTGACTGAGAGAGATTGCATTGAGGAGAGCAGTTGTTGCTGATTTGCTGTGCTATTATCCGAGGGCTTGCCCTTCTCCCTCTGGGATCACTGAGGCCTATGGGTGAGAACGAGACTTGTAGCACCCTGTGAAAGTGAGTGCACTCAAGTTGGCGTTCATAAGTGTGTGTGCTTCCCAGAACCAACTCTCTGTTTTATGTATGTACTTACAGTATGAGAAAAACGAGTACTTTATGTGTTTATTTATATATCTATTAATTTATTTAAAATTGGATTTCATGTTTAAATGTACAAAATTAGTTGAATTTAGTTAAACTAAAACCTTAGTTTTTTTTTTTTTAAGAGTAAAAAAAGGGGAAAAAAAATTTTGTTGGCAAAAAAACAAAAAATAAAAATAGAAGACTAGACTACATTTGCTTAGGACTTTTTCATTTCACTTGTGTGAAACATGC